TGCATTTATTATTTTTATGTAAAATTGTAAGTTAATTTTATTATAAATTATAATTGTACAAAACATATATAATTATCTCAAAAAATAAAATGGTGCAAATATAAAATATTAGATGTTGCTAAAATTGAAAGGTGCAAATATAAAATATTAAATGTTGCTAAAATTTAAAATTGAACATACATTAAAATTGAAAATATATTAAATTAAAATACATAAAAATTAAAACTACGGTAAATAACATAATAACTCAGTAGGGATGTATGTCGTTTTCAGATAATCCCCGCTTTAATGAGGGACAATTTCTTCGTAGATATCGGATGTTCCGGAATTTGTTCCTTCGAATTGTTGATGCAATTGAAGGTCATGATATGTACTTCGATCAACACGTTGATGCGGTAGGTAGCTTTGGATTATATACGCTACAAAAAATCACTTTCGTGTTTAAAATATTGGCATGCGATGCGCCAGTGAATACCACTGACGAATATGTAAAAATTGGAGCGTCGACTGCAATTGAAAGCATGAAGAGATTTTGTCGAGCTATTGCAGAGGTTTTTGGCGAGAAGTATTTGAGATCACCAACATCTAACGATGTTGCAAGGCTTTGCACATCGGTGAACATCGTGATTTTCCAGGAATATTAGGCAGTCTAGACTGCATGCATTGGAGATGGAAAAATTATCCAATAGTATGGACTAGACAATACGCAGGTCGTAGTGGATCCCCACCAATAATTTTTGAACATGTAATTGATTATGACATTTGGATATGGTATGCATATTTTGGTATGCCGGGCACCAATAATGACATTTATGTTTTAGAGTCATCACATTTGTTTTTCAATTTTGCTGCAGGTATTGCTCCTCCCACCCATTATATTATTCAAGAAAAAAAATATGATATGAGTTATTATTTAGCTGACAATATATATCTAAAATGGTCAACCCTTGTGCAAACTATTCGTGACCCATGTTCGCCATAAAAGAAATATTTCGTGATAAAACAAGAATCATGTCGAAAAGATGTTGAACATGCATTCAGAGTTTTGCTAGCTCGTTTTGCAATTGTTGTAGGACCATCACGTATTTGGAGAAAGAAAGTGCTACATGATATAATAACTACATGTGTTATACTGCACAACATGATAATCGAGGATGAGTGTGATTTTAATGCACCAATTCAAGATGATTGGGCATGTCCGCCTCCAACGGTAGAAATGATAGTAGATGCAAATCATCGATTTGAATAATTTTTAGCTCGATACAAAAGAATTAAGAAAAAATATGCTTATTTTGCACTTTGTAATGCATTAATAGATCATTTATAGGAGCATACTAAAGGTGAAAGCTGAATATTTATATAGTATTTAATCTGAATTTTACCATAATGTAATATATATTTAATTATCTTGTATCTCAGTGATTTCACTTTTATTTGAATTATCCGTTAATATATATAATCTATAACATTTGCTTACAAATTATATTATTTAAAAATTTATGGTATAAAATAATTTTATATTAAATGGTT